CAGCAGGGAGCCAACACACACTATTTTAATTCCTGTAATCAGGGCCCCGGGTTCCGCAGCCTTGCCATCTTAATAGTGGTTCATTAATAGCATCTGATAAACCATGTCAAAAGGACAAATTCACTTTCATAAAAAAAAGCAGGGAACTTAATTATTAGGTAATAAAACGGTGGCACCTTTACAGCAAAAAGCATCTCACACTAAAATTCATTGAAACATACAAACATATTTTTCTCCAAATGAGTCTACTTTCCAGAAAAAAAAAGCCCAAATAAGCATGTACATGTCATGTTGGGTTTGAGGGGGAAAACAAAAACAAAAACAAAATTAAAAAAAATATAAAACAAGAAACAATCTCCCTAAATTATCTTCTTTGAAGATTCTGTTTAAAGCAGAAAAATTTACTTGGAGTAAAATGCCCTTGATCTAATAAATACAAGTTGTTATGTTTTACCAGTAAGATTATGATATATTGTATTGTGATCTACCATGAAATCTTTCTACTTGTGTTATACAGTAGGGAGCAGTAAATAAATTTACCATCCTGTTTTTTCTGTGTGTATACATTAATACATTTCAAAAACATAACATGTTAAACTGTTTCATACAAAATATATTAATAAAGTACTCTATATAATATGGCAACACCTGTGCTGACACAACAGACATTGACTCATGGAATCTCTGGATAGAAGAAATGTTGGGGTTATCCAGTGCAATAACAGTATTTCTAATAAATGGTTACTGAACCTTTGTTCAACACCTCAATGACAAGAACATATTACTAGCCATAGAAATAAATTACTTGCTATAGGAACACATTTCCACTTTTAAAACAACTTTATTAGGTAAAATTTATATACAATAACATTACTCATTTTAATGGTATATAATAAGATGAGTTTTGACAAATGTATAAACCCATGTAACCACTATCACAATGTATAGACTTTTTTTATTTTGGGATAAAAAAGAGTTTGTCTTTGATCCCAGATAAATGCTATCTTCTTAAATGAGTATGAAATAATTAATTTTTAATTCTGAAGTATTTTATTTCCCTTATATAATAAATCTAGTCATTTATACTGAGGCAGACAAAGATATCACTGTTCTAATTCCCATCATCACTTCATTGGAGAACATGAACCCCAAACAACATTACTAATTTTTCTCATCATTGTTTCCTATTTGCATTATTGACATTCCTTCCATTCCTTTTTAAAATAATTATTTATTTTATATATATTTTTTCACATGAGTTTTGTCAGAGAAAGAGAGAGTGAGTGAGTGAGAGTGAGTTGAGAAAGCAAGCCACTGGCTCCAGGACTTGAACTGTGGTAGGCCATGTGGGAATTCCAGTGCCTTAACCACCACACCACCTGCTGGCCCCCATTCCTTCCATTCTTATACACCAAATACGTACCTTTTCACTGTTAGGGCTTTCAAGATATTCCTTCCTTCCAATCTTCACTACTATCTTGCTGTCTCTAATACAATCAGTTAATAAGTCTTTTATCAGGTTTTCTTCAAATGTCTCTGTCAGAGACAACTACAATGGTTTTGAAACTTGAGCATGCACCAAAATCCGCTGGACTGAGGACACACAGGTTGCTGAGTCTCACTACAGACTTTCCAATTTAGTAGGTCTGAGGTGAAGCCCAAGAATTGTATTTCTAAGTTTTCAAGAGATGCTGATGTTGGGAAACCAGCAGTTAGCCTAATGGCTATGTCGCTGGACTCCCACGTAGTCGACCGCGGTTCGTGTCCCGGACCCGGTGACTTAAAACTCACGCCGGGCGCGTGTGCGTGCGTGCCCAAGATCCCGAGAGGAGAATGGAGGAGAAGGGATTGCGGCGTGACCATCCCCCCTGGGGGGTGATTTCTCGCTTTCTGTCTCTATGTCTCTCTCTGTCTGTCTGGCGAGCGCACGCGCCCTACAGTGAAAATCTCTCAAAAAAAAAAAAAAAAAGAGATGCTGATGCTGCCTGTTCATAATTCTCACGCTTTTAAGAATTACTATCATAGAGCTGGCCCCATGTGTAGGGGTTAGGCACTGTGCATTGGGAGCGAAATCCCACCTGGCTGAATACGGTCCAACTTCCAGCTCTGGCACAAACATGCTGGGTGCATGTGCCTACATGCCCAGATTCCTGAGAGGATGGAGAAATGAAAGGAGGTCGATAGGTCCCACTGGGAGGTGCTCTCACTCTTTCTTTCTGGTGAGTGCATGTGCCCTCTGGCAATTAACAACAAAAAGAGAACACAATCATAGATGGTCAGATATTCTGGAACTGCCACTATGTGCCCTTGTACAGATTATTCCAGCTCTCTGTTTTAGTATTTTCATCTAACAAGTGAGGATAATGATATTTATACCTCGTAGAGTTGAAGTGAGGATAAAATCAGAGGTCTGCAAAATATGTAGGG